TCTAAAGATGAAAGAAGGAACCCCCCCTCATTCAGTTTGGCACTTTCCACCACTTCTTGTCTCATTCCTTATTGTCGTTTTCCTACAGATAATATGCGTTTAACGCAGAGCTTAAATTACAAACAGAATTCTGAACGCCTACTGTGAGAGCCTTCTGTTTATGAATAAAATTGGAGAAACAACAACAACAACAAAAAAACGGTTGCTTGCCACGAAGTGGTAAAAAACGTATTTTTCATCAGTAGCGATCTGCAGTTTGTTCTGACGGGAGGCTGTGAGAGTCAAACAGCTCCACTTCCCTGTTCAGGTTTTCTTTCAGCTTCAGGACTTGGTTTGTGTAACAATCTGCTTAGAGATGGATCAAAGGCCTCTTGGCAAAACTAGTGAAGCTATGTGCTCTAAAACTGACACCTTTCAAGTTAAATAAAACTCTCAAAAGAAAAAAGAAGTATGCTGCTCAGATACTAGATAGAAAAGAAATAGAGAAAACATATACATCTTTTCAAAATGACCTGAAAATAAAAACTCCAGAAGTCTTTACGTAGACAGTTCAATTCCTATGCCTTAGGTTTAATTAAAGTGCCATTTCAAGGGCTGGATTTGTTGTTGAGCTTCAAACTACGCTGGCCTTAGTCCAATTGGATTTGGAATTCTTATGCTCTTCCTCTAAAATGAAAATGCTGAGAGGGTGGAAAAACATTTCCTAATGACAGCTTCTCTCTCAAGTAAGTGTTGTGAGATCTTCGAGGAATTTTCCATCAAGCAGACAGAAGTGACAGGACCCAGTATCTCGGGTTTGGGAAATAATGGGAAGTTAACTTCACGGTCAATAGTAGAAATAGGTCTGTGGACATAGCTGCAAACTCATCTATCTACTGAGGCCAGAAATTCCTTTTTCTTAAGAAATTAAAAACTCAATACTTATACAAGGAATCACTTGATATTAAAGCATTGATTTATCTGTTTAACTATTACATGTGTCTGGGAGCTGGATTGGGCCAGTGGTCACTAGTTTGCTAACTATGTCCTCAGGTTTCATTTTATGCTTGGAAAGTAAAATAATGATGATGATGGTAACAAATATTATGTGCTAAGTATTTTGTAGACACTGAATTTATCTTCAATTTTCTTTATAATAGCCCCAGTAGTTAGCTAGTATTGTTTGCCCATTTTACAAATGTGGACGTTAAGTGACACACAGATTAAGAAACTTGCCTAAGTTACACAGTTTGTTAAGAGTCTGTACTCTGAGCTATGCTATGTGTAGAACATCTTAGAATCTAAAGTTACGTGTGGTTAATTTTTTTTTTGTCTTCTTAATTTCTTTAGTAAATGTTTAAGGCTATTGCTACTCAATAACTGTGGAGGGTGACCCTTCATTTTGCATTACTATGGCCTAAAAAAATAAAAAAGCATCTATCATCTACAAATAGTCCTTTGACGTCAAAAGAAATGCAATGCTTTTGAAATCTGAAGAATGGACTGCATGGTCTTGAAACTGTGAAACTGACATTTACCACGTTTCTCTGGTTGCCTCCAAAGAGGGGTCTTAAATTTCATCAGGGGAATAGTTGCAACCCATGCTCTAAACTGCATTTGCATAGCCCTTGAGGATGGGATTCAGTCACAGATTTTAAATACCTCAAAATATGGAAGGAAACACATACAACAGCTGGAACAGCAGCAGGAAGAACAGACTGAATGTCATCCCTGTTGCCACGAACAAGGGCATATCCACTTTCACATAGTGGATTGTGCAGGTACAGGGCAAAACCAGAAAAGGCCAGGGTGATGAGAGATGTGCATCTGCATACAAAAATCCCACGACACCTGCGAGGGTCCCACATCCAGGCATGGGCATGCCTCTCCACGCCAGGTATGTGCTCGCCTTGATCAGTGGTGTCAACCAGGGCACGGCAGTTTCTTTACAAGGCATGTTTTTGATATGGCAATTATTTGGCTACCCCCAAGAGGCAGCTTCTCAAAGAAAATTTGGACCCAAGTGCTCCACTCACAAACACTATATTACCATGCTATAGTAGGTGTTTTTAAGAACTGATGTGTATACACTGTATATAATGTATATTCATTCCAAGACTTTTTGATGCACTGTATACACAATACTCCACTACCTACTTGATATCTACTCTTAAATATCTAAGATACATCTCAAATATCAGGTGGCTAACATGGCATTTGTCCCCATCTGTAAACCTGTTTCCAGTCACCCCCAATATAATTATAGCAGTAAGATCATCCACCAACTGCTCAAGGAAGAAACCCACGCCTCTTACTCATGCTTCCTTCTCCCTCAGGGTCCATACCTCGTACACTTCTTGTACGAGTTACTTCTAGTAACTTTTCTAACTTCCCATTCTCAATACATAATATATTATAAACACATTCTCTTCCCTCTACCTTCATAGTCACTGTCTCTGTTGTACCTTCTGTCACTCCTTACCTGGAATCCTAGAATAATTATTTTCCTACACCTCCAATTCACTCTTTGTCCCTTGTTTATTGGCATAGCGGTCAGAGAGAATTTTTAAAACATTCCCTTTCTTAAACTTCTGATGTTCTTTGTATGAAATTCAAACTCCTTACCACTGTCCATAGTGTTTTCTGGGAGTCTCTTCTATACCACAGTCCTCTCAGACCCCCATACTTTCTTTTCTCACTGCATGACAGTTAGACTGAACTTTATTTTTTAGTTCTTCTAAAACATTAAGTTCATGTTTCCACTACCTAAATTTCCTCTGCTCCTAACCCGGCTGGTTCTTTTCATCCTTCAAGTTTCACCTTACAGGGCAATTCTCAGAGAATTTTTCATCATCTGCCTAATCTAGAAAGAGTCACCCCTGTTATTTTTTTTTTTCCTTACACTTATTTTCTTCCACAGAACTTACCATAATCGAAAACTCTTGTGTCCATTGGCATATTCATATAATGCCATAATGTACCCTCCAACATTAAGTTCATACAACAGGGGGATTTTTTTCTGTTTTATCCACAAGCACATACCCAGTTTACCATCAATGGGGGGCACAAGTGAATCTCAGGGTGTGTGGTACAGAAGAACTCTGTGACAACTGAACACATGGATACTTTCACTTTTCTGCTTTCTAAAGTTCTAGCAAATCTAGGACTCCATCTAACTTCAAGATGTCATCTACATTCACTCAAAATAACAACACGCATGGAATCCAAACTCCCACACGCGGGGTAAGAGAAACTCATTTCTGCTGCTTTTCCCATTAGCTGTTTTGAGCTGCAAAAGGTCACTACCAATATCACTGTCACGTGGTATTTGTTCAAAGAATTCTCTACTTCCACCGTGCATGGGACTGAGGAAGATAATACACTGAGTGCTTGAGTTTAGACAGAAAAAGTAGCTTCCTCTGAAGATTGCTTCATTAATTACTTATCTGACCCAAAATACCCTGTGATGATTGAGGACACAGCATGATGTAACTCCTGTGAGAGCAAGCACTTAGTCCCTTCCCTTGGCACCAAGAACACTGTAAGTGCAAATAGTCTTAAGTGAGTTAACTAATATATGCAAGACAGAAAGAGGGAAATAAAGTAAATTAAGGGAAAAATTATCAGAAAAGCTTTGTCTGTATTGGGCAAGATACAAAGACATGTTCTGTTTTATGAACTCAAATCTGGAAGGCAGATGTTTCCCCACTGCACACTATTACTCTCCACACCCTCCTGCGTGCTCATGTACCTCCTACAGAGAGACCACAGCCATTTAACACTGAGAAAAACCTTTATCGTGACAAGTGGCTCAGTCTTTCCAGTATGGGTGGTGTGAGATACCATTGTGGGCACATGAGTCAGAAAGACTTCAGTCGAAACCTCAGTCCTGCCACTTTCATGTAACACAGTCTCTTTAGGGCTCAGTTTTCTCATCTGTAAAATGGGGATTAGATAACAGTATCTACTTCAAAGCTTGCCGTGAGCACTTGAGAAACTAACGCATGAAGTTGATCATAGAATGCCTGAGCATGAGAAAACTCAGTGTATAGAGTCTTAGTAACAATAATGATAATAATAGTTGCATTGATCTTATGTTTCCTTTATTTGGGGAGAGAAGACCAGGTGGATAGGACTTAGTATAAATATCATATTCCTGGATGAAAAAATATTTGGACTCCAGTTCAGCTCTGCTTTTTCCTAGCTGTATGAGATACGCAAGTCTTTTAACCTTTCTTCACTATGGATTCCTTATTTTCCTGGAAATTCTGTAAGCTCATATTTCTACCCCAATTCTGCTGGTAAGATATTGAAGCTCAGAAAGACCAACATGCCAGGCTGTGTAAACGTGTAGCGAGTGGCACTCAGTGTCATTTGTACACAAACTGAAGCAAATCCCTTGCCTGTATGAGCAAACAATCAGTCCCATCTTACACATGGGAAAAAAGAAAACTCTGAGACGTGTAAGAATGAAAGAATACGTGTCTATGATAATAGTCTTGCAGAGTCATTTGCAGATATGATGCTTGTTTTAATTATTATCACCCATTAATTTTTTTTTTCTTATTTCTGGGGAAGCTGCATGCTACAGAGTCATGGTGGGTTAGTGTGGCCACACTCTGCTGGGACCCAAGCTGGCCTTTTCTCTACTATGTAATTCTGCCTCCTTGGCAGGTTAACCTACATCAAGAATAGCTACAAGGGACCATTCAGATGACAGACACAGACAAACTCCCGTATCTAAATGCTACTCCTGCCATATTCCTTGGAGTTCTTGTGTAATGGTGAAAGGCTAGCATCTAAACATGAAAACCAACATGCTCTCTTGGCGGCCCACTGGATTTCTATCCTCCTCCCCAAAATGGAACTGCTGTCGTCTCCCTTTTGCATGTTGAAATTTAGCCTATTAAGGAGACACATTTGAACTAGAAGGACTGGACTTCTTTAAGCTAGCTCCAATCGAAGTCATCATTGCAAATATAGCAAGCAGCATTGAGAACCAGATAAACGAAGTGACTTACTTCAAAGACCAGGGTCTCATTGGTGGGCCCGGGTGCATACAGACGTTCTGGGCGGTTGAAGGGGCGCTGGTATTCGAACGTGGTCCCGGCAAAGGGGAACTCGCCAGGCCAGTCGATGCTCCAGCCCCCGGTGAGGTAATACTTTTGACTGAGGCTTCGAACTGCGAGGTAACTGGAGGAGATTTGCAGCTCCTGGATTTCAATGCTTCGAGCCCCAGCTGGAATGACCACCACCGGATAATATTCTAAGTGGAAAGAATAGAACATTTTTGTATTCCACACGGTGCATTGTAGAAAGGCAACTAGCAATGCCCAGGAATACGTACTGTCCATTTTTATATGTGAGGGTTTTAAATTATTAACTGATATTCATTCTTGCTCTATGACATAAACATGATAGACGATTTCATTTTCCAAAGGGTAAGAACACCAGAGAGAGAAAAGGAATGTGGCTTTTCCAAGTCTTACCAAGCATGCTTTTATGGACAGGTGCACACCATTCTAATTAGACTAATGAAGTCCACAATAGTCAAGAACACTTTTTTTTTTAAAGTCTTCCTAGAAGAAATTTAGACCTATTTATCCTCAATGGAGATATTCAGAAAGCCAGGCTCAAAAAAGTTTAATTTTACTCAAGATGTCTAGATAATGGTCTCAAATATTTATCTGATGCTATGTGTAAGATCATGTAAGTTTCACAATACATGTCTTTGCTTCATAAAAGCATGCAAGGCATACATGGTTCTTGGTTGGAAAATTAAAACTATAAATTAGGAAGGCATTTATTTAACACATTTCTGAGACATAATATATTGATGAAACTCCTTCCATCTCTTGCACAAGTGACCAAAGCCATCATCACATGTGTGTCAGGTGAACTAGTAAAAGGCTTAACCACATTGAGTGTGACTCAAACTTGTTCAGTAGCAAAAGTTGTGTCTAACTAGCAAGAGCAACAAAACGGCAGCATCTCTTACCATTTGCTTTATTCTGGTTGAGGTATAGGCCTTTATAAAACTTGCAAGTCGAATTATCACCTTTGCAAACACCACATGCATCTGAAACAGCTTTAGAGCCAAGTTCATGATCACAACCTACTGGCTGTAACAAAAAAAAAGAGAGAGAGAGAGAGAGAGAAAAATTAAAGATTAGAGAAGCCAATGGCTAAGAATAACTAAGCCATGTGGTGCATGGTTTTCTGTATTTATAGAACATTACAGAGGCAGTACAGCTTCTGGCTAACAAGGGCAATCTCAAGTTTGACTGACTTGGGATTCAAATGCCTCCTCTGTCTTTGTCAGACGTATGACTGGGCAAGTTGCATAACCTATATAAGGCTTAGACCCTTCATCTGTGATAGCAGAGCAAGAAGTCACCATTGCTTCTAATGCCAAGTGAACTTATTCAGGCCTGCGCTATGACCAAAACATAAAAAGGTTGGATGATACACATGCGCACATATGCACACACCCTTAAAGGATCAAATAACTCAAATTAAGTGAAATTAAAATGGAAGAGAAAGTGAATACCCAAAGAGAAAGAAAAAATAACTGGAAATAAATAGTAGTATCATTTCCAAATTCATTGGTGAGGTTCTAATCATGTAGTGAATGTGCTTAGTAAGCATGCAAGCAACACTGTTATTTATAATCTTATTTAATTTTTACAACTACTATGTAAAGTAGGATATATGGTTTCCATGTATATATATACGGAAATGGAGTGAAAGAGAAACTAAGAAAACTGGACAGAGGTCACGCAAACACTAACCTGGGGAATTTAGACATGGTGCCTACATCCAAATGGAGCATTTGACCCTTTGTCCCATGCCACCTGCTGTCCTTCAGACACACAATATCTCACAACACTTGCCACAGTATGTACTGGATATGAAGAAACACAAGCAAGCTCATATACCCCAAAGCAGAAATGTTCTCTTACTTCACAAATCCCATCAATACAAACGTCATTTTTGTTCGGGGAGCAAGGGGTTCCGTCTTTCACTTTGCCAGACATTGCAAAAAAAAATTCAAAGTTCTCAGCCTTGCAGTAGAGTTTGCATCGATCTTCCTCTAGAAACAAAGAGATGAAGGTAGCAAGTGATCAAGAAGAAACTGTCGGGAAAATGATATGTCTGCCAAAAGGATGAATTCAATTTACTTAGAAAGCTATCATCATCATAATGGCAAATGTTATACAGTTTCATATGTAGATGTGCATGTATGTGTGCACAAGTAATATATGGTTTTTAAATGTATGAATCCCACTTAACAACCCATATGAAACTGATTTAATATTAACACATAAGAATGTTATTTTTCTGCGATAGTTACCATACACAATTGGTAGGTCATGTACTGAGCCTCCCTCAATAATAAATATTTTAGCCTTCGTAAGCCCTATATACATGAAGGGGTGTTGCCATTCCAATAAAACTTTAAGATTAAAAAAAAAAAAAGCAGATTTGGCCCAGAGGCCATAGTTGGATGACCCTGATTTAGGACATGGATTACTCTAGATATTTATTGAGTCCGTTAAGAGGAAAAGCATTAGGCACTTTGAAAAAAGGTATATGGTCAGTAAATATTTTTATAAAACATATACAGAGGAATCATATCATAAAAATGAAGAGGAATCAAATAAACTAATCTTGAAGACTAAAAAATACAAGTTTCATTTACCCTTAAGTCCCTGAGTAGTTTCTGGTATCAGGGGCAAGAGGAAAACAATATATATTTATAGAACTCTTGTTATCAGAAAGGAGTTACTATGCCAATTTCTCAAATAGAAAGAGCTCTTTTGGCCAGGACTTCCACATGATGCTTCTCACATGAGACCTTACGTGGGCGACCCTGAGCAATATCCCTAACAACAGTTTTTCAACAAATGTGTAAACAGTTTGCAAATAGCTGTGCTTCATAAAAAAAAAAAAAAACCCAATGAAAGGCAAAGTCAAGCTTAAATGTGAAAAAATTAAATTACGGTCCAAATATGCAGATGTGTGAATGGATTATAAATTTCTCTCTCACCTATGAGTTGTTTGTTAACAGCACCTTAATTTCATGACTCCTAATTTTTGCATATGAGATTAAAGAGTTGGATTTCCTTTGTCTATCACTGCTAGGGATTGACAAGTTCTAGAAAACGGCTTTTCCAGCACAGATTTTTTGGATGAGAAACATAGAAGGAATCAAGAATGAAAAAGCTCACTACTGTGGGATAAAGACCGTCTACATTTATGAGTAAAGTTTCCCCTTGTGCTTCTTAAACTGCAGAAAAGTCATGAGACCTTCAAATCAGGGTCAGTCTCTTCTGTAAGTGTCAAAAGGAGACGAGGAGGGACCAGAACGCTTTAACTTTCCTGTCTTCCTCCACTAGGATGTGGGATCCTAAGGCTGGGGTCTATGTTTTATCCAGTGTACGCTCCTGGGCACATTGCACAGTGTCTCCTAGAAAGAGCTCAGTCAACACCTGCGGTGTGAATGACTGAAATGGCATGTTCTCTACTTAGTGAAAACTGCAACAGAATTAGTGAAAGAACTTTGGAACCAGAAAACACTTTCCAAATGACAAAACTGATTTAACCTTCTCCTCATGCATTCATGGAGGGTTCATGATCCCAAACCAGATCCATGCTTCTGAAATGGCTGGGCTGGTGTAGAGCACAGTTGCACCACCCCTCTCTCTCTCTTGAGTTGGAGGCTCTACTCGTTATAATGCTGTCTGTAACGACATTAACTTCCTTTATGATGGCTGATAATATAGGTTCATTTTGAGCTTTTGCATAGGAACAGTCCATGAATTGTCATCAAATTTAGTCTCTTCCCATTCTGCACATGCGCAGTTGGGATTCACATATATCCTTTTCACTGGAGCATGGATAGGTTTGGATAAATCAAGTGGATGTCAATGATAGAAAACACTAGAATAGTGACAGCTCATTCTACACAGGTAACAGAAACTACATTAAATTCTTCTGTTGTAACTAAAATAAATGTTTGAATATTTACCACAAGTTAAAACAAATTTAAAAAGTAAAGTATATGCGATAACTTTAAGTTATAATAAGTACTTAGAACCTAGTATCAAGATCATTTTTATTCATGATCCTGTGTGTCTATGTGCACGCACGCACCCTACAAACAGGCCTCCCCATACTTGTAATCATCTGACATGTCAGTTACTGAGTATGGCGTCTCTATGGGGTATATATGATTTCACGAGTTTGGGGTCTGCACAATTCATACCAATTTCAATTAGCATCCCTGGGAGACTTCATTGCCTAAATGTCAAAGGTAACTGGAGAAAACTAACTACATTCCAAACACATGAACCATTTGGCTTACAGACGTGGGAGACAAGGGGTATCTTATGGGGAAAAAAAAAGTGTCAAAAAATAAACAAAACCCATGGGATGAAAAAACTGGGCCAGGACAGGTCTGGGGGAATGAAAGGTAAACACTGAAATTCTTTCATAGAGGCATCAATTTCTCCTGTGCTTGTTCCTTCATATCATCATCCACACAGAGACATATTTATTTGAGTGTCACGGAGACCAAATTACCTTCCACTTTCGTATAGGGTTTCCACTGGTAGAACCATCCGCGGAAGGGTTTGCTGTTATATTCTGCACATTGCTGGGCTCGAAAATCCAAGCTGTTTTCATTACAAGGGTTAATGTTGCACAGCTGATAAATACGGCTAGAACCTGGACAGAACTTGCCACCGTACTGAGGCCTAAAAACACAATAAAAGAACCTTAATGCTAGCAGTCAAGCAGCTATTTGTCACATGCAATGATACAAGGAGGTCCAATTCAGATAAGCATTGCCATAGCGTGTGCAGCTATGTATGTCGATTACAGGAATGGACATACGTAGCATACGAACAACTGCCTGTATCTCTTCCTGCGTCTATGGTAGACATAACCAATCGGGGAATTCTTTTTTCTTTTCTTTGTTTACCACTGCTCGTTAATTGGAAATAGCATGCTAGATCAAACGTACTTACCATCCCTGATCCAATTTTTACATTGTGTTGATATCCTTGAAAACTGATGAAAGGTTATTCTTGAAACTCCTATTACCTCCTGTGTTAGGGAAATCCATAAATACACCTAAATATTCTTATTCATGTATATTTGTGGTTGTGTGCTGCATAAACTCTATACCCTTATTCCGGCACACCTGCTACTACGTAACAATTGAGGACACTGGGGAGATGGAACAGAAAGTGACATTCACTCGCTATGTCCTCCCATCCAGCTTTGTTACTCATTGAGATGAAATTCTGGTTATTATCTGACTCTGGTACATTTTATTCTTATTGATTCTAAACTCTGAGGGAAAGCATTCTCTTGGTTTTCATAAGCATTGTGTTTTTTTTTTTAACTTTGCAGGTGGCCTTATCCCTTCCTGCCAACCACAATGGGAAATGGATTTCCAGAGTAGGGAATTCCATGAGAACAGAAATAATTATGATCTGATGCCAAATGCTTTAAGATCTTGGTAGGCAGATTCCAATCTGCAAAAAGCAGACAGCAAAATCAAGGCAAAAAGAGCATAACCACACTGAACATTACCAACAACATCTCATCTAGCTTCCTCCATGCAAAAAGCAATTGCTTTCATTCCTCGCTTTTTGGTGTTCTCTCTAAAGGCTGAAACTGCATGGTGGATAATCTTAGATAAAAATTTGATGCCATGGTGGGTATATACATACATAATGAGTGAGATGTGCACCATCTGGGGGATGGTCATGCTGGAAACTCACACTTGTGGGGGGAGGGGGGGAAAGGGCATTTATTGAAACCTTAAAATCTGTACCCCCATAATATGCCGAAATAAAAAAAAAAATTGATGCCAACACATAATATGAAAGGAGGCTCTGGGTTAATAAATTTATGTGAATAAAATTCCTTGCCTCTTCAGGAAGCACAAGCATGCTATAAAACACCTCTGGATTGGCTTCGGCATATGTTATGCAGTCCTTTTGCAACTGCACGCTAAAATGGATTCAACAGAAATGGCAAGTGCGACATTGCCAGAATGAGACTTTTATGCTAGTTCTAAACATTCCAGAGCAACTACTTAAACATGCAGCAGCCATTGCAATAAATCAAATCCCTGAAGACTTCTTAAATTATCAGCTAAACAGCATCTATTAATAGAAAAATCTTAAAGTATCCTGTGTTAGCCTGGTCATCTTTACAAGGCATATTAAAAGCTAACTTCTCAGTTTAACACTTTCTATTTGAGATCTCACAAATAACACTCATTTTGACTATACATAGTTAATGAAGTGAAAGTGACCACAAAGTGACCACTTCTTCAACTTTTTTAGAACTTGTAACAGAAAAGACATCCAAGCTTCTACAGCCATCCACTCATTTTATACATGAAGTGAAAAATGGCTGGCAGAGCTCATAAAACTTGGTGAATGAAGGTCGTGCATCTAGAGAGCGCACGGAACTCAAGCTCAGTCCTTTGGACGCTGTCCAGGATTCTTTTTCTGCCCTGCTATGCTGGCAATGAACTCAGCGAGGCCATCGGGGCAAGTATAGGATAAAAAAGAAAGTCACGGTACGACATGATGGTCAGAGAGCTGGCCTTTCACGACGAGCCACAGACCCTGCTTTAAATACAGGGTTCTCACCTCTTTCCAGTTTCACTTCGGGCAATTTTTATTTAACCTCCTCCCCTGTAAATTAGGGACAATTGTGACAATTAACTGTAAAGGATTTAGGGGTAGTATCTAGGGCAGGGTGAGTGCACATAAATTATAACTATTCTTAAGTGCCTCATACTTTTGTAGAAGTGCCAACACTGTGCTGAGTATTATGCGATCTCATTCTTATATACGAATGCATTTCATTTTTAATTACAGGACAAGGGTAAAGGGATCAAAAGTCATGGCTGCCAAGAATCTGGGCTTTTTCATCAAATTTTCCAATACAGGTATATTTCTTCTGCAGCTTTGAACAAGATGGTTAGGATAAATGAACAGAAAATGCTACCAGGATATCCTTTGGTGTAAGAAGTTATTTAAAATTAACAACAAATACAGAAAACAAAAAGCTAGACACACAATTTTATCTTTATATTAGACTACTTATGTTTGCTACAGTAATTATGTTGACTGACTACAAATAATTATGTGGGTTAGATGAGCTACTTGAGTAGCTCTGTTAAATTTGCATATATTTATACAGATTTCTGGATCCCTCCACAGACTTTCCCAGTAAGAATGTGTAATATGGAAGATCTAGACATCAGTGTTTTAAAAAGTACACCTGGTGATTCCAAAGACCAGCTGAGCCTTGAAGTTACTGGTTGGAACACATGCCACAGAACAGACTCAGTTATTATTCTAGAGCCATGACTTCCCTCCTAACTCCATTTGCTAAACTGCATTAGATTAAGTGGTATATTCTATTTTCTCAAATAGACTCATGTTTTAGGAAAGTTTTAGAACACCCTGGCACATCACTAATAATTTTCTTGAACAAAGTTCATAGGAATTTCACTAGGCTTTCTTACACTGTGATAGGGACCAGAAAAAATGTCAAAGTACTAAAACTGCGGGGGGATCTTAATCTACGTCTGCCATTAACAGGATGGGGACCTGAGCAAAGGCTGCTGCTATGAATGGGACCCTCTTCCTCCCCTGGTCACCCAACTGTAAAATAACTGGATTATCCAGCAGGTTCCAACTCATGTGTCAGCTCTAACCAGATCAGGAGAAAAAATACCTGGAGAGGTGTTGTTTTGAGATGTTTCTCAGGCATAGCAGGGCTCAGCAGAAAACAGGGCTTCAATTAATTAAAATTATCTACCACACACGTGGGGAAGAAAAGGAGGGTTCCATGGGCCTGGCATTGGCTATTCCAAAGGCCAGATAACCTTTAACTCTTTTAAAACTCAAAAAAATTGGATACATCATAAATCAGCCAAGAATTTTTTATGAAACAAAATACGTTCTGGCAAAAAAAAAATCGTTATATGAAATAGAAACCTCATACTGCTTCACAGATGAGAAAATGAAAATGGTAAGGCTGAGTGATATGAACAGAACCAAATGCTTAACCTAAAGTGAGAAAGAAATCTGTAACTTGAAACAGGGAGGGGGAAAAAAGCAGCGTGTTACTACAACAAAGTGAAATAAGAACAGAGAGAGAACAATTAATTCAATTGTCTTGGGACGGCCTATCATCTACTTGTTTTATTTGCAGCTCATGCATAAAGTAAACAGTATCCTAATTATCTTTAATCTTGTTTAAAACGATAACACTGCACACCAAGTGGAAATACTTTAGTGATTACTTCTTGTATTAGGCATCCCTAAAATTACCATGTGATATTTCCATGAACAATGCCCTATTATAATGTGAGTTCTCAATCCTACAGACAAGAGAGAGGTTTTAATTTAAATCCCAGGAGTGTCATTCATGTGCTTTACTAGCAGAGCTATTAAATTAGGTAATCTATTTCTTTCTTGGGAAAATACTGAGATTTTAAAATGTTGTGATGTATGAAAACCAGATCCATGTTCTATGCTTCAAAAATGTACAGTAATATAATGATTTTAACAATTCTATTTAAGACACAGGCTGCATTCAAAGTATTAGGAGGGTGGTTTTAATAACCTGGTATATTGGTTGCAAGTGCATCACCAACACTGCTACTATTACACACAAGGACTGGGTCTGATTAGATCAGTGAGTCTCAACCAGGGATGATATTTCCTGCTATACGACATGTGGCAATGTCCAGAGACATTTGTGGTTGTCACGATTTTTGAGGGTGGGAGGATGGAGAATGACCCTACTGGCATTTAGTGGGTCAACGCCAAAGATACTGCTAAACATCCTACAACATACAGAACACCCCTCTCCCCACCAAAAAACCAAGATTTTTCCAGCCCATGTCAATAACGCTAAAGCTGAAAAGCCCTCTTTCAGCCTCAGACATCCCAAGTAGCACCTAATGCATCATGGTCAAAGTAACTCCAAACCCTGCCTTATATCTTGGAAGTCAAAAAAAAGGTAGCTTTTTCAGCCAGTTCAGACTGCTGACTCAGACGAAGTACCATTTGCCTCTTTTAAAATTTCCTTTTGCTCTAGGTGTCATGATTTAATTTCTCAATTTACACATCTATGCAATGCTTAGAATGTGCCAAACCCTGTTTAAAACCGCTTTATGAGTATTAACTCAGGTGATGTAGATGGTATCATCAACACCCCATTTTTATACATGAGGATCTGGACCAGGAAGACTCAGTTGTGGGATTTTTGGCCACACAGCTAGGAAATGGCACAGACAGGATGTCAACCAGGTTGTCCAGCTTCAGCATCCAGTTATTAATCTCTGTACTGTGCAGCCATGTGAGCTGTGTTGTAAGAGTTAATCCCGTCTTGCGAGATCCCAACACAGTCTTCTCACTCCATCGCATTCTCCAAAGTCCAGTTTCATCAGTAAGACGTTTGCCTCTTCCCCCTGCTTCTGTGGGCTGACCTTCTGAAACCCCGTCCTCCTGGTGATGTTGGGACGAAGACGATGACCACCACACAGAGCCCAGACCCTTCTGTTGAACGTCCACTGGATACTTCCGGTCCACCAGGCATCCTATGGGTGCAACCGACAATCCTCCCCTGACCTTTGGACGTTATCCCCTCTATTTTATACATAAACCCAGGTCAAGTAGCTTTCCCAAAGCCACACAGTCTAGAAGTGGCAGACGCAGGATTTGGAGTCTATCTCCAAAACCTCAGTCCTTTCTACATCACCCTGCCAATTAGAAAATAGACGTCTCACACGTGTTTCGTGCGGGAGTTCGAGCACATAAAAGGGAACATAAAACCACCTTCAAGTTCACAGAGCACAGTTCAGACTCCAGGACAACCAGGTGACCGGCAGGTGACCACAGGCCAATGTCAGCCCACAGATGATTTGTATTAGTTGTCAGTGGTTTTTGTTTTGTTTTGTTTTTCAAGAAAATTGAATTTGTTGTCAGTATTTTAACAATTGGGAAGTTTCACATGCAACATTTTTTTTTTTTTTTTTTGGTATTTCTAGTTTCTCCTGAAAAGTCAGGCAAATCTGTCAACACTTGCTGATGTACATTCCTGCAAGGCAAAGATCAGCATGCTTTCTCGAGTTCAGCAGCCTGACACACACACACACACACACACACACACCTTATGCCAGCCAAGCTTCTCTGTTCCATAATATCACAAGTATTTGACTGTATGACTGTATAACCCTAGTTTAGATTAAGAAAATAGCTCAGGCTATTACTGGCATTCTCGATCGTCATATTCACATATAGAATCACTCCTTTGCTGTTTTTTTGTGGTTTCTGTCCACCACCACACCTTCCCCCCCAGCACACACAGCCTTTACATGCAAACAGTGAAACCCTGGCTGATTGCTATTAACCGGAGGGAAGAAAACCACACTCACAAACGGCGTGTTACAGGCTGAAGGTTAATGCCTTACAAAGACAGACTTTCTGTTGGAGCCTTACTTGGGGTTGTTGCAGTGTCTCTCTTGATACTTCACTCCTCCACCGCACGTCCGGGAACATTCTGACCACTTCGACCAGGCGGACCACTGGCCGTGGATGGGTCGTGGCCCCAGCTCCCCAAACTTCACGCACTGGCCTTGCCGACACCACTGTGAAAAAAAAGGGTTACGTGCTCACTGTTACAGAACACCTGGAAAAGCACAGGGAGATGCAAACACCCACACAGTAACAGAAAAACATGAATCTGTTGGGGGAAAAAACGAAAATGCATGACTTGATAGAGTCCTTTGCTTTGCTGGGCTTTGTATACACAAAGCTACTCCGCATTTTCTGCAAGCATTTTCGAAGATTGACATCTAGAGAGAAGGAGCATCTCTTACCAACAGGCTGAGTATTTCATGCTTTGTGAGCTGTTGAGGTGAAATATTCAGGTAAGATTCCACCTAATAGCCAATGGTGTCAGCACAGACAAAATCACAAGGGAGCCTCCCTCGGCACTTAGAAACAATGCTACTTAAAGAACAATTTGGATCATTCACTCAAGGAGAAACAATTTTTAAGATAGTAACACAACTTGTTATTTTGAATGATTATGTCATCATAAAAATAGATACAATTATACATGCATTATTAGATTTCAGCTTGTATCAAACCATCACTATAATAGGGCATTTCCTGGGAAACTGAGTAACTTTTGGTCTGCACAAATTGTACTCTTCCGATAAAGTCCTTTGTTCTTTTGTGTATATTAAAAGGTCCCTTCTTCAGACCCTCTGATGGCTTTGTGCTCTTTCACTGTCTTTGATGAATTAGCTGTGGGTCTTTCACTTGCCCGTGTGGTCTGTACAATCTAGGGTGAGAGCTGTTTTCTCTAACTAACCTTTCCATTTTAGTTTGCCTTTGTAATAAATTCCAGACTTTGCTGGTCATCTCTCTCTCGGGGTTGCATTAGCCTCTGGTAGTGGTTTTTTTTTTCTTTTTTTCTTTTTTTTTCCTGTGGTGCTTTTATTATGAGCAAGTTATGCATGACTTAGCAGAACTGTGCTCTTTCCTAAAAGCTTCTGCAATTAGATGCAAAGGGCTGGAGTTTGGATCATGCCAGCTTTTGACAAGGAGTGGGGGTGTTTGGTTACAGAATTATGGGAAGGTTGTTTGACTTTCAAATCTTCAATTTTCCCCCGTGATACATTTGGCTTCGTGGCTGTTTATTGTGTGGCTTGGTTGCTAGTGCACTTTGTCTAGGTTAAGATATTGCTTCCTTTCTTCAAATTATTGCCATGTGCTGATTAATTCTTCTGTTTTTAATTTTTGTTTTCCTTGGATTAAGTGCCATTTCAGAGTTTACACGAAATCATGTAACATTGTTAAGCAGTTTTGGGGGGAAAACAATCGGTCATTTGAGGATTTTGTCTACCATAAGCATGCATCTTCCCTACCAGAAATTACAGGGACTCTATTGGACTAAGCTCAGTGGCTGAGACAAAATTAATAATAATAGACAACAAGAACAGGAGTAAAAGCAGCAGCAGCAGCTATAGTTTATTAAGTTGATTCTATATGCCAAAAATGGTGCAAAGAACTTCACGTGCAGTATCTCATATAATCCTTGCAAAGCATTTAGGAATTAAAAGCTATTTTCTAGATGAGAGGAATTTAGCAAAGAAACACTAACGTGCTCAGAGTCTCACAAACTACCCAAATAGCTAAAAAGTAGGAAAGACTAGATTTAACTCAGTTTCCAAAGCTCCTAAAGTGGGACACATTCAACTTCTCATCTCAGAGGCAAATTATTGACCAATGTATCTTAGTTCTAATCTAATGTCTTTTTTGGAAATGTGGTTTTAAGATCTCTTCCCATCATTCAATTCATTTGACTTTCTATGATTTCAGTATTAACACTTGTGTTAGGTTAGGCTGCTGACCAGTGGTTTCCTTCTGGCTTTTCAATCAGTGTAGAAAGCAGGACTATATGTAGGAATATACACAGACATGCACACATTCACCTGTATGTATAAAATTCTACAAATTTAAATATCCAATATGTATGCATATAATTTTATCCATCTATCCGTACATCCATATTTATAGTGCTACTTCGAATTTCAAAAAGAATGGCCATGACCTGGGCAATACACCTCTTACTAGATAGCATGTCATGCATAAACCTTTCTTTCTTTGCGCACATGTCTCTAGATAAAAGTAGGTGGCTTTGACATCCTCTCACGTTTGCCGAGTATTCACAGTGTAAATACGGCTGAAGGATAAGGCACAAGAGAAGGAAGGGGAAGGATACACTTGGGTTCCAGTTACAAAGGAACAAATAAAACATCAAGCAGCTGCTGCTTTGTGCCAGACACTCCAAGTAAAACACAAGGAAAGGCCAGGTCCTGGTCCTCATGGAGCTTACAGTCTAATAAATAACCAATTACACTCCCTGGTGAAGGAAGAGTCGAGGACCACGTCTATGAATGCAATAACCATTGTGGTGCAGTGAGGATGGATGGATCGAATCAGGATGCTTGCTGCTGAGGGTGATCTCATGGGTGAGGGCTTTCCACCAATGGATAACTACAGCCTGGTGTTTTAAAATATTTGGGGGTGGGTAGTGGTATTAGGACATTTGCCTTCTAACTTCTGGCTTGATTTATTTCATGTTCTGCTTACTGAAGCTTACTGAAGCACTGTAGGTGCATTTTAATCTCCATGAAACTTAGATCTTTGGTGCATTGATGTAATTTATGTAACAACCTATGTTACATATTACTCATTTTCTTCTTTATATCAATGTTTTCTTACACAGCCCTTCTTGTATTTAATGCTTTTGCTTTTTTAATAAAAGAAAATGCCCCTTCATCCTCCAGTTATGAGTTTTAAATTTTCAAAAGCAAAAATGTGGAGTTATTTATACTTTCGATTATTCACTGAATTCATTGTTTTGTACCATTCACAGCTACAACACTTCTATTCATATTTTCAATGAGAGTCCTTACTGCAGTTTCCCAAGATGAGTATATCTGATTGAAAATTGCACATAACTCCCCAATTTTCAAAATGTTTTAAAAAAAATAATAGAGTTAAAAATTATAAATCTTTTAAGAGATATTAAATAAATGTTCTTACAAATATCAGAAAGCATTTGCAGAAAATCCTTTATTTTCATGCAACTGTGCCTTTGTCTCTACTGTTAGCCTCTCTCTGAAAAGTCTCTCCCCTTCCTCTCATCCAACAGAAGAACTGCAAACTCCAATAACCATCCTGGTGCACCCACTCCTTGCAGTTAAGCGCCTACCTAATTCCAAACCGAGACTCATCCCCCATTTCATCTGGATCTATATGGCAATTATTGCATAAAGAAGGTGTGTTTAAAAAGAGAATTACAGTTACTGGCTTCTCCATTGGTTTCTCCAACTGGATTATAAATTCTTGAAGGTATAGGGCTGAGTTCTATTCACATCTATATTCCCAGAGTCTCCTGTCCCCAATATCTGGTAGTCAATAAATTATTGTAGAATTGAAATCACTTTACATGACTGATTCTTCTATACAGGCTTGCATTGCCTTGAGAAAGAGCTAATAATTGAGACCAGCAAACCTGTAACATGTCATTCCCTCTCTTCATTTATAGCTCCTCTATCTGCAGAGCTGAATCATTTACTAATACTCCAAGTGCACCTCTTTCTCCAGAGTCTACTGGAGAAAGAAGAAAAAGAGAAGCCAATGGATGAGACTTCTTCATACAAAACACAGTGATCTCCTATAATCTTCTGAAAGGGAGAAGGTTCTTAGGGCTGAAAATGCTCCTTAGCAAAAAGCCTTCATGGTACAAGCTTGACTCAGCTGCCTCTTACCCCTCAATAGGAAAGTCAGTACAAGTGACAGGAATGTTTTGGGTGTGTCGGCAGTTCAGTGGCAGGTCCTATGAGGTGGGGTGAGTAGCAGAGTCCATGGTCTGGAAGGACAGTCATTTCTTTACTACTAATGGGGACATCTCAGCAAGTTTAAAAGGCAAACAATAAGCAATGAAACCTATTAGCTCATTGAAATAGAGCTATTTTGACACAAGCCTTCTCTATAAAAACAAACAAAAGAAAAACACTCTAAAAACAAAAACATCTTCTCCTTAAATAATTGAGCTAACTGAGTTATATTGGCATTACATTTCTATAACCACTGCTAAATAAACTCGGTTATTTTAATGAGAAGTCAGAAAATATATGCAGCCAAAGCTCTCCATTTTAAGGTCACAATACAAATAGTTTGGTTTCTACGCCTTATCGAGTTTCCCGGGCTAAAAACTAACAAGTATGCAGTTTACCATACTCAAGCCACAAACGGTCCCTTCCGCTGCAGGCATAAACTTGGTCTCACATCTATGGCCCACTCGGTGACACCAGAGTGATTTGCAAATGTCCTGGAAGGAAAGAAGGGGCTGGTGAAGGTGATGACACAATGAAATTGAAAACATTCAAAGATCTTATACACAATATCCTATTTTGGGGTGGCTGAAAGCAGACAAATTATTCAGAAAGTTGAGGCAAGTGAAGTTGGTGGTATCAACATAACAGGATACGTCCTAGCAACTGTATAAGCAGAAGGTTTCTAAAGTACCTAGATATTCATGTGCAACACGTACTGGCTAGAAAAGAGCAACAATTATTAACAATTCAGTGAGCACTTGGCTTGGAGCTAAGAGATCTGGTTTCTAATGATAGTCCATGTAAGAGACTAGGCCAAGAGTGGAATAAAGCAAGTCTGATTCACATCTTCATCCTGAATGCCAGGATGCACGCCCTATGGACATGTCACAGAATTCCTTTACATTGTAGTTTCCTCACCTACAAAACATGGATACAATGAGCACTTGGTGCTATAAAGTGGTTCTCAAGGATGAATGACAAAATACACACCAAGTGATGATTTTGCCTGGTGCACGCAGTCCCCCAAATATTGGCTATCATCATCATCCTCATCATTACCTTCTTCATCTTTCTTGCAATACTCAAGCATTTAGACAATTTGATTCTTACGCTAGACCCATGAACTAATATAATTTTCATTGTAGACTATGGTAGGCAGAATAGCACCCCCCCCCAAAGATGTCCACAGCTTAGTCCTGGGAACCTGTGAACATGTGAGGTTATGTAGCAAAGGAGAATTAAAGTTGCAGATGCAATACAGGACGCTAATCAATTGATCTTGAGATGGGGAGAGACTGTCCTAAGTTTTTCAGGTGGGTCTAGAGTAGTTGCAAGGGTCCTTAAATGGGAAAGGAGAAGACACAAGAGAACAGAAGAGAACCAGAGAGATCACTACTTGAGGAAGATCCACAAGGATGGTGCTGGCTTTGAAAATGGAGGGAAGGGCTGTGAGCCAAGGAGTACGGGCAGCTTCTGGAAGCTGCTAACAGCAAGGAAATGCCTCCCCCAGAAAATCTCCCAATGGAACACAAGTCTGCTGACACCTTGATTTTAGCCATTTCAGATGTCTATCTCCAGCACTCTAAGATGATAAATTATGTTGTTTCAAGTCACACTAAGTTCGTGGAAATGTATTACAATACTGATAGGAAACTAATACGGTTACTACCATTTTTGTGGCAGAAAGTAATTGTTCACTTCAACTCATTTAGCAGAGGAAACTGAGCAAGCTGTCGACTTTCAAAGTCATCGAGACGGGACACACAGCTGGGCCAGTGACCAAAGTGGGACTCGAACTGGCTTTATTTCAGAGTCCAGTAACTTAACCACCGCGCTGGATCTGGATTTGCCATTGATTGGCAAGGCTCTCCATTTTAAGGTCACAATACAAATAGTTTGGTTTCTGAGCCTTATCAAGTTTCTAGGGCTAAAAACTGACAAGTATGCAATTTACCATACTCAAGCCACAGATGGTTCCTTTTGCCTACAGGCATAAACTAACTTGCTCTCACATCTATGGCCCACACTGTGGCACCAAAGTGGTTTGCAAAGGTCCTGAAGGCTGCTCCCCTTCTCCAGGCCCCAGCTCCCTGTCTATAAAGTAAGGGGACTGAACCCCCAAACAGATTACTTCCAGCTCAAATAGTTACAGGTAGTGCTCAGCATCATGTCACTAATGGAACGTCATGAAACACCATGAAAGATCAAAGTGATACCATATTGTCTGTCACCTTCTATTTACTAAGGCTGAAATGTGAACATATATATTTTGTGGGAAAATATTAACAACCGGAGAGAGAAAAAAAAGTGATTTTTGTGGTTACTTGTTGTAACCCTGAAAATCAATTAACCGGGGACCCCATTCACCAAGCATTCCACTTAATAGAGATTTTACAGTTACAAAACACAGCAAGAACATACTGAGAGGTATTACACACACACACACACAAAACCACAGCTTTCCACAGTACTTAGAAAAGAAAATATAGAGAAACTAGGGATACACACAGTCATTTTGGTCTTGTAGACCTGCAAGGGTCCCCAACCCTTGGACCATGGACCAGGACTGGTCCATGGCCTGTCAGGAACCAGGCTGCACAGCAGGAGGTGAGTGGTGGGCAAGTGAGTGAAGCTTCATCTGTATTTACAGCCACTCCCCATTGCTTAGCGTCCCCTATGACTCCACAGTCTGTAGAAAAATTGTCTTCCATGAAACTGGTCCCTGGTACCAAAAAAGGTTGGTGACCGCTATTATAGACCATAAAATTCTTCCCCAAAAAGACAACAGAAGGATATTGAAGACACAGCTTAGAAACCCTACCAGCAACAGCAGTCCCAGACATGGGCACACACACCATTTCCAAATCTTAAAATAGCTCATGAGACAGAATAGATCCATCTTTCTCCATGAACCTGCCACTGACACTGGTGCAAAGCATGATGTAGCCTTCAGACAAACTGAATCAGGCTTGTCATCTCTGCATATTGCCAGTCCCCAATGGTCTGATGGGAGCCAGTTCATGTGGCAAGGAGAGCAGTCTGCTTCATTCAAACTAGAGGAATGACAGGAAGCCACTGAAGCAATTAAAACTACACTTAGAATGGCTTTCAAAATTAAATTGTTTCTCTTCTTACAGCCAGGAGAAAACCATAACCCACACCCACCGCCTATGTGGCAACTACCAAAATGGCCCTAGGGCAGAGCAAAGAAAAGGAGGCTGAGATGCCTTAGCCAACCTCAGTCATGGGGCCAGAGAAGGGGCAGCTGGAGAGGACCAAGAAAACAAAGCAAAACAAAAAAACATAGAGATTCCAGAGTGAAACAAGACAGGCTGTATGAACATGTTATTCCTTCTGTGGTGAAGTGCAGAAGTTGAATGTAATTATAGCCAACTACATGCTTTGATGACCATGAAAGCCCTCTGAGAAAACTCCCTTTTCAAAGTAAACAGAAATGGGAATTTGCACTTTCTTGCTTCTACCTCCCTCTCTTTTGTTCTAGCATATTCAACTAATTTTTCCTTATCTGTAATTCCCTGGACTTAACTCTTAATTTAAGGGAAAAAGAAATAACCACAGAGACCAAAAGGTTTCATGTTGCCTGGATGTGACTTTTCAGAACTGGAAGACACTTTTAAGGGAAGAATCTCAACATTATCCGTACTTCTTTCCTGTCCCCCACTGGCCAGGTTCTCCAGTTGTATTCCATAAAGCGTGAGTCCCTTCAAGTAAAACATGACATGCTGAAAAGGTTAATGGCTTCTGCAAATCGAATTTCATAAAGCAATTCAAACTTAAAATTCCTCATCTGACTCCAAAACCTGTCTCTCACGTTCCGCCTTCCCAATCACACTATATGACACCTCCATTATTTCCAGTGGTTCCAGCCAAAGTCCTGGATTCATCTTTAATTCCTTTCCTTCTCTCACACTCTATGTTTGACCATCAGACCTTCCTTCACCAACCTCAAGCCTTCACGTTCTCCCCATCCCTACCCAGATTACTCTTAACAAAGTAACTCAAACTGCGCTGCCCAGGGGGGTAGCTACTTGCTACATGTGGCTTCTTAGATTTGAACTTAAATTACTTAAAATCAAATTAAAACTTCACTTCCTTGGTCACCCTGATAACATTTCAGAAGTTCACGTGTGGTTAGCAGATACCATGTTGGATGACAGAAAACATTTCATTTCCATTGTTAAGACAGCCCCAAACCATTTTCCAAAATGATTATACCATTTTATGCACTCATCAGCAACATATGAACCAGTTGCTTCATGTCATTTGGTGTTGCCAGTCTTTTGTATGCAGTGGTGCCTTACTGTAATTTATTTCGCATATGCCTGATAGTAACTGGTATTGAGCACCATATTACGTGTTGATTGACTATTTGTGTATCTTCTTTTGTTACATGTTATTTAAATCTTTTGCTCTTCTCCACCTTTTTTAAATAAGGGGATTGGCACTGGTGCCATCTTGTATTTTTTCCAGATAATATGACAGGAAGCATAGTACAATGGTTACGAGTATACTACCCAGATCCAATTTTAGTTCTGCCATTTACTTGTTGTATAAAGTTGAGCAAAATATTTACTTCCATGTTCTCCTGACCACTATGCAAACCTGCCTTTCTAGGAAGCACAGAGGGAAAACAAAGTAGGTAGAATGAAGAGAAAAGGGAGAAAAGGTTAGAAAGAGGGAGTAGTGATAGGACAATGAAAGTTCTGAAGACGACCTTCATCTCTTCCCTTGTGTTGACAGAGCTGGTCTAGACTATTCCTACTGGATAGGAAAAATAGGAGATTTTGTTGTTTTGGCTACTCTTTCTCATCAGGGCCTGACACTATAGATCATCCTCAGAGGTGTGGCTATGGGTTCCAGTCATAGCAGGTTTAGAAATGCCAAAAGCTAGAACATAGGGGGGAACACACACTCAGAAATCCATCAGCCACCCTACCTTCTCCAATTTAGTTCATCACATTAAACTATCTCTGTCCAAAGCAAGCCTTCCCTGCCCTCCAGACGGTCCTGTCTCTGTGCCTTTCTCCTCACTTAATTCAATCTTCTAGTTTGGAATTTTCATTTCCCTTTTCTCTGTTTCCCAAGGAAGACCATCATATTGAGATGCTGTCTTTTATAAATATGGTGTGGTTCTAGAAAACAATTTATAACTTAAGAATGGTTGTTTAAGCACTACACACTGCCAGACACAGAACAGGTACCCCACAAATGTTTGTTGAATGAATGATCCTGAAGGAATGATAGTAATTTTAGGAACTCCCTTTGTGTTTCTTAAGAAAACCATACTCATAACCAATTGTGCATTTGCTGCATAGTAAGTGCATAATAAATATTTGATTAATGAATAAGATAATGAACCCTTTAGAATGGAATAAAGAGGCAAAGTTAAGAGACGAACTTTGTCAACAAAGAGAATGGCTACTTACTTCTGCCCAAAGCATCAACTTAACAGGCAAAGAGAAGCCATTATAAAATATGTTAGTTTTTACATATGATACACCAGCATTTGCCAAAGTTAGGTCCATGTCCCATGGAGGATATATCAAAATAAAAATAAAATTATGCATGGTATGTGGATACATTTTTCTAATAGTTATATGTTTACATTGAATTAGAAAAAAAATAAGTATTACCATAACAAATCTATGATTTGATGGATATTATTTATTAAGACTGGACTTACATTTTGAAATTGATTTATAGAAAAATCAAGAGGTGAATAATAATACAGAGATACAGTATAACTAACGATAGTAGCCTTTAATGACCAAATGTTAATGTCAATAACTGAAATTTAGAAAACACTGGTATTTGCCGGTGCAGAGGAGAAAATTTAGGAACAATGTGGGCGATCTGCTTTGTCTGGATTCCACCATTTAAAAGTTTTCTGGCTTTAGGCAAGATGAATATATTTTCTGAGCTTTAGGTAAAAAGCGGTGATAAATTTTCTTTGAAAGGTTTTTGTGAAGATTTTGAAAGGTTTTTTGTGAAGATAAAGCAAAATAAATCTCTTAAATAGAATGCCTTACGTGGAGCAGAGGCTCACTGAGTAATTGCTGGAGATGACAGTGAGTGGGGATGGGTAGGGATGGGTGGAGGAGGACAAAGAGGAAAGGTGAGAAGCAAGAGAAAAAGAGAATTAGGAGTTGGGGAGGGGAACGAGGAGCTACAGCTCTTCATAATTTTCATGTATCCAGGTACTTAAAACTTCTATATTTCTCTTTATGTACTGGGTATAACCAAACTTAAAAATAATTCTACTTTCCAGTGATGTTGGGATTGTAATACTCTCAGTGATGCAATTTTTGAGCAAGTGGAACAAGGTTTCCTCTCATTCCTACAACCTGGACTTTCCCATTTTCCCATTCATCTTTTTTTTACAATTTTGAATGGCAGACTTGATTCAATAATCTTATTCATATTGCTCAAGATGTACCTTGAATTTTTATATATCATGTCAAAAAGAGTTGGCTGGCTAATAATAGTTTTTCCTGTACTATAAAAGACAGAGAATGCATTTTGGGGTGGTGATAATTTTAAATGTCTTAAATTCAGAGGGAAAAAAAGAGAAGAGGACAAAAGTAGCAATTAGCAGTAGGTAAAAGCTATAGTTCCCAGATTCAGTACTATGGATAAAGTCTTAGGAGGAAGAATTTTCTATCAAGGATACAATCGAGTGGTATTGTAAACCAGGCATGGTCTAGAGCCTGGATAATTCATTGACAGTAAAATTACCACTTAATTATCAAGCCAAACAACTGACATTTTAGAGATAACCCAGACTCTAACCCTTGGCCTTCGCAAACCAAATGTTTATACTCCTGTTAGGTACACAGACACACTGTAGAATCTTAATGTAAGTTTGAAATCACAAGCAAACATACCTTCACAAACCCAAGGCTGCATAACTTGGCTTTTGCTCCAAATTGCCACTTGCACTGTGTGTCGGCATCATAAATCTGTCCTGGCAGTTTGTCTGGATATTTATACTGTCCTGTTTGCTTGGGCTCGTCCACTAGACACCCGGCTTGAGGTGTGCTGTAGTGATAACACATCCTTGTTAATTACTGTGTAGATCTGTGATCTTTCCACTTAATACACCCTGAATGCATTCGTGCAAATAAAAACAGAACATGGTTAAGACAAACAAGTATATGTGCAAAGCTGAAATATGCTGAAATCTATGTTTACTGCAAAGAATGTGTCCTGTCCAAGAGGTTGGAATATAAACAGCCATGAAGAGTTTTTACAGGGTGCTGGAAGTTCTAGCCATCCAAGTGATTTGTGTTGGGATTGCATGCGAAGTGGGTAAAGTCTATATATTTGAAAACTCCCCTCAATGACCTCATTCAGCAACATGCAACAAATTGGACTGGGTGCCTACTCTGTGGCCAACGTGAGGCTACGTATTAAAGGTACAAAATAAACCAGACAACACAGTTTCGGCCCTCATAGAGTTTTAAATTGTGCATTTTTTTTAAAAACAGATAACGGGGGAAAAAGTCAAAGATGTACTTTACCTTAAATAAGCTTCATAGACAAAAATAAATAAGTAAGGTTATTGGAAGAAGCAAGAGGAAGAATGCACTGGGGCATGAGGCAGAAAGGTGTCCCTGAGCTATGCTCCACTGGGGCCTGTTGAGGACGAAAATCCATCTTGATGGCAAGGAGATTCTTAGAAAACACCTTATTTCCATTTATTTACACTATGGTATCACTGAGAGGTTAATGAGCATGGAAGTTAAGTGCAATTTTGTAGATAGACAGATGGCAGTCCTAGTCAACCATGCAATCAAGACCAGGTTAGATAACTATAAAGCTCATTAACAACAATGACTTCCAAAAGGATTGTTATATATAGATCAAAGGAGAAAATGTAATGTGCTGAATACAGTGCAGTAAGCATTCAAGGTTAGTTGCCAGTGCTATCATTATTATCACCCCAAAGCATTTAACTATAAAACGTTAATGATGGAAATTCAATCTATATCAAGTAGATCTTGATTTATGGTATTTATTAATTCTATTTTTACATGACTTGAACGAGGTCATTTCAGGCCCCAAATCATGAATTTAAAACTAATAAGAAAATTTCAGTGGCAAAGCTCATTATTGGCAAAAAGTTTGTTGATTTTTTTACTACCCTTTGATAATCAGTTGGTCAGATATCCTTATATTTAATCTGCCTTTCCTATGTATCTTGCTAATTCTGTAAACATTTGCAAATAATATACACTGGCACAGGTTAAAAAGTGTCAAGAATATCAAAGAAAGTTCACCAACATTGCAGCAAAGGGAGGTGGGATTAGCATCTAAGTGTTCTGGTTGGTCAATATATTAATAGATTAAAAAGCTATATCTAAGGTAAGCGCGGTGGATCACGCCTGTAATCCCTAAGCACTCTGGGAGGCCGAGGCGTGAGGATCGCTCAAGGCCAGGAGTACGAAACCAGCCTCAGCCACAGCGAGACCCCGTCTCTACTAAAAACAGAAAGACATTAATTGGCCAACTAAAATATATAGAACACATTAGCCAGGCATAGTGGTGCATGCCTGTAGTCCCAGCTACTCAGGAGGCGGAGGTGGGAGGATCGCTTGAGCCCAGGAGTTTGAGGTTGCTGTGAGCTAGGCCGACGTCACTGCCCTCTAGCCCAGGCAACAGAGTGAGACTCTGTCTCAAAAAAACAAAAAAAGATATACCTACGTACCTATAATTCAACTTTGGGTTTATTGTTTGGTATGAGTCAAATAGTACTACCTTCCTAACTCCCACTTTCACTAGTGCAATCTAAGGGTTCTGAGTTATGAAAAGGATTTTACTTAGCCATCAGCCCCTTAAGAATGTCTTTTGGACACAGAGCTAGCTCATGTCCATTTCAAACAAAATAGCCAATCAAGAAAATGCTCCATGCATTAAAACACACCGAAGCCATTTTGAGCATCTTAAAATATCTTATGACAAATTTATTAACCAGATTACAATATTTAGTCACGGTGAAAAGACCGTGTATCCAGAAGTTTCTGGAAGTCATACAAGAGAGATGGTTATGAGTACAGATCTCAGAGTCAGAACAGACCTTGGTATCAGTCAGACCTAAGTCTCCTGTCTGCAACTATAGTACTTTAAGCAACACAATTAACCTCTTTAAGACTCAATTCCTCAGCTCTAAAATGACAATAATAGGATTATACTGAATGAGGCCCTATGTGGAGAGTATTTAGCACAGTATCCAGCCTTCAATCTAGTTTTTCAACCACAATGATAATAGCATCAGAATTTGTCAATTTTCCTGTCCACCGAGAGATCAAAAGCTTCATCCACCGAGTATTTGTTTTTGTGTTTATGGAGCGAGTATTTGTTTTTGTGTTTATGGAGAGAGTATTTGTTTTTGTGTTTATGGAGCACAATTCCATCACTAGTGCAAATCTAGGAACACCCTGTCTCGAACGTGTCATACCTGAGGAATTTCTTGAGATACTGCCGGCTGCAGGAAGACCAGGAGAACACGCCGTTGTTTCCGGTTAGCGTGGGGGACATAATGTTGCCTTCGGCCTTCCTGCAGGGATTGCCTTCTCCGTCGTGGATCATGCCGAAGCTTACATAATGAAGGCAGAAAAAAAACCCATCTGTGAACTTATTTTTCAAATGACAACCAGAGGAACAAAAGGGATGCATTGAGAATCGACAAACCCACATGAGAGATAGATTTTGAAACTGTGAGAAAGACACAAATTCATTACTATAAATTGTGAAGTTCATGCAGAAAATTCAAAGAATGCTAAGGGTATTGTTATTTCTTGGCTATGAAAATCAAGGAACGATGTAGACCTGCTATATATTTTAAGCACTAGAAAAATCTTGGTCATGATTTGTAAGTTAAACTATAGTGATGGGACAAATTCCTTTAATTCAAAAAGCAAAATTATTTTCTTGCCACCACTTAAGGAACTAGGGTAAGGAAGTTCAGAGGGTGTAGGAGGGAGTTACAGAGAAAAGCTAATTATAAGTTGTCTACGGACTGTTCATACGTAAAGCTAGTGTGAAATATAAAACCTCTCTCATCTGAATAGACATTTCTCAGAAGAAGACATACAGATGGCCAACAGGTATATAAAAAAAAGGCTCAACATCGTTAGTCATCAAAGAAATGAAAATACAATGAGATATCATCCTATTTGCTCACATGCTGTAACCTGTGTGACTATTAAATGCTACTATTCAAGAGGAGTGACGTCTACAATAACTGGCCTTCACTGAGCCCTTCATACGATCAGGAACTACTCCAAGCTTTACAACAAGACTCATCCTATTGATTCTACCTAGAGCAGTAAGGAATGCCAATGAATTGCCCAACCAGTTTTCATGTCAAGTGGGGAATCGAGGAGCCACTTACTTGTGCCCTGACTCGTGAGCAATGGTGAAGGCAAGGCCAAGCCCCGTGTCCTCGTTGATGGTACAACTTCGGTACTTACTGCACATCCCGCTGATGGGGGCAAAGCCTATTGGAAGATGGGTTTCACATGTGAATCAAAGGGGGCACACACAGATACACGATCATTTCTTACGTCCTCAACATGTTCTACAACACAGTTCTAGTTCCATAGATTAATGCACTTCATTTTATTTTGCAAGAAAATACTAAAGATAAATAGTTCTCTGCCCTGTGTAATAAGATATAAATATAGCATTTCATATTTTTTGTGCTTTTTGTTAGGTGCTGTCATCCTCCTAAATAATCCTGTGAGGTTGCTGTGAGTATTGCAATTCCCATTTTACATTTAGGATAGTCAGTCACAGAGAAGGTGTATACCTTGTCTGAGTTTATTATTTGGGTCAGAACAACCGGTAACTAAAGCAATGCAAAACATTCACTTAACAGGGGCATTAGTGTCAAAGCACAAGGGGAAATACACATACCCTGTTATTTTTCTAGAGGAGTGAGCGTGGAAATGCCTAAACAATGTATGCAAATTAAATGCATTTTTCTCCTGTTCACTATAGGGTGATAAATGCTCCTGTTTCCAAAGGCTACCTCTCCTTCCAACAGCAGTGATGAAATCATTCCAGCCAGCCTTTGATTCTTTCTTGAAATACAGTGCATATGAGTATCTGTCTTTACAGTTTGGGGTTCTAACAATCAAGTAGAACAGGTTGAGTATCCATTTAGTATTAAAAACACATGCTTGAGAATTGATCCTACTCACCTTACTGCCAAGATGGAAGTGAGGTTATCTGGGAAATCACATACAAGTGTCCATATCATGGCTGGCAATACCAACCACCACCATTAAAAAAATAGTTGCCAAGTGCCACACATCGCACTATTCATCCTAGTATACGTCCGTGTGTGTATATAATTATACATTAGCAAACTGAGGATCAGAAAGGTGAATTAACTTGCTCAAGATCTCAGTCATAAGTCCTAGACTAGGGAATCAAGCAAAGATGTATTTGAAGTCAAAGCCCATGTTCTTTGCATTAGGACATGCTGCTTAAAGTAAGTGACCTACAGAACGGCTGGTGGGATTCCTGGTGTTGTATTTGTTTTTCCAAGCCCTTTGTTATAGTTTGGTCTCTGGCTGACTGATAAAATGCCCTCCTTCTCAAAATCTCTCTTCAAGACACCAACAATGCACTGTGTTACCAGATATCACTTTGCGAATTCCAAACACAGACCACGAATGAGTATTTACCATCCCCCATTATAAAAACCTTTCCTATGAAACAAATCCCAAAATAGTTGTGTTTTCTGAAGACTATGATTAATGACAAATTATTAAAATAAACTTAATGGATAGGACACAATGGAGACATTGTACAGAATCTGAAAACACAAAATTCTATAAAGTCCAATCTACCTTTCTCTCTCATGTATCTTCTCTTCTCGAGAATGAAGTTTTATGGAAACACAGCCACACTCATTTGTTTATGTACCGTCCATGGCTGCTTTTGCATAAATACAGCTCAACTGAGTAGTTGAGACTGAGACCTGTCGTCTGCAAAGCCTGACATATTCTCTGGCCCTTTACACAGAAAGTTTGCAGGCCCCTGATAAAGACAATCATCAGTGAATTAAAAAAAAATTATTGAATTCCTACTATGTGCAATGGATTATACTAGAAAATATGGTATCGGTGTAAAAGATACAGTCCTTACTCTTACTGCCTTGTGTAAACATGGAAGAAATCGAGTCCTCCAAAGTCAAGAAACTTTCTAAAGGAGGCACTGCTACCTAGTGGCACAGTTAGGTACCATAAAGACCAAATTCTCCTGAGCCACCCGGTTCTGTGGCCATGAGGCCTCGAGAATAATCTGCGACATGTCTGACTACCCAAATGACACATCTCCTGTATCAATTATCATCAGTGGGATCAATAAATAAAAATGCAAAAGAAACAAAGTAAACAGGCTTCCCATTCCACACGGAGTTTGGGTACATAGAACAGTATTTACCCAAAGACACAATCAGGATGCTCCACGATTTGATCAGTAGGTCTCTTTATTAAGGATCATTAAAGGCCACTCATCCAATAGAAAGTTTTCACACCGTGTTTTCAGCTAACAGGAATGCGTGAAGGACGTGTTCATACTGTACCTAGAGTGTCACACGGTTCATTCTTCCAGGAGCAAATATCAAATCCAGTGAGCAAGATGGCGTGGTCGTGCCTCTTGCCGTTCTTTCCAATGAGGGCAGACTGCCACTGACAAAAACTGTTCAGAGACTGGTCCGCGTGATGGTTGATCAGCAATCCTCCCTACGGGAAACCCGCACAGATCAGAGTGTGAATTTGTCACAGAGATGAGAACGTTGAATCATTCCATTTGTATAGGCAAACCCAGAAACATCTTGTTTCTAGAGGAAAAGCCCAGGAGTGGAAAACACTTTAGCTAAGGCTGGTGACAAGAAAGAAAGAAATCAATCTTAGGGGAATGCTCACAACCTTGAAAGCAACTACAAAGTTTCAGGAGTGTAATTTATGACCAATTGTATTTTTAAAGCAGATAACCTGACGTCAGTTAGGAACGCCTACGTTCATCTCTCCTGGTAGGTACCACATTTATAAAATTATTATAACTTTTAGAACATGACAATAAATGAATGGTGATGAAGTTCAATGCTTTTTTTAATAAAGCATGAAGAAGACAGCTTACGTATTTATCTTATTAATCTTTATGTTATTTATCTCTATGTCAAAATTCCCAGCAAAGGGTTTGGCACATCTTAGGTTCAATATAATGAAAATTCACTAAATGGATAAATTCAGTGTTATAAAATTCTAAGGGGTAAGATAGGACATACCCTTGAAACAATCGTTTGCCAAAATGTTCACTTTGTTAAAACTATTGACTTGGGCCAATTTGAGGGTTTTTAGATGAGATCTTTAATTATCAGTGAATTAGAATGCCCCTGGCTGCAACATCCTTGAGCAATGTGTAAGTAGTAGGCAAAAGACAGAAGTATCTCGCAACCAACACACACCTTTTCTATCTATCTAAAATTCCAAAAATAATTTGACAAGTCGTTCACCTCTTTACGCACGTGGGCGATGAGATCAATTTTTGTCTTGTCTTTGTCTCCTGGTTTTTTACATCGTGTATTGGGGTTACAGAAGAAGAGGAAAAGCCTCAGGGAACTTTAAAAAAATGGTCTGTTTGAATGGTAATCCCTACCTCAGAAAAACACAGTTTAAACATCAAAACACTACAAAGCAGCGAGTACCATGCAATTTAACACTTTATTACATGTTCTCGTTTTATAATTTGCCCCATGCCTGTGTCTTGCAACTCACTGTAATCAATCCAAGGGGAATTAAATATCCCTTGTTTATTGTCCATAGTACTTAAGATGGCACTGCAGAGACAGCAGGTTTGCTGTAATGATTTTCTGATGTCTTATTTTCAGTATATCGTCAAAATATCCTTTTGCGTCTCTCCTGCAATTACTCAGCATATCCAACTTGCAAAATCCAGCTAATCCTTAAACCTATGACCAAATTCACCTTCCTTGTGAAGCCTAGGTAGTATTTTTATTTTCTTTATGTAATGTAATATTTATATTTTAAGTATAAGTATTTACTCTCAAAACAATTTATATTTTATGCGTACATATACATATATGTTATATATAAAATATATTTATACATAAACGATTGCATTCTGGTATTTTAATTATTTGATTACACAACTCTATTAGATTGTACTTTTCTCAATGATAGGGTCAGCCAATTTTCAAATTTGAATTTCTGATGACCAGTACATGGATTGGCACACGGTGGGTGTTCAATAAATGTATCCCAAATGGCAGACCAAATGGAGTAATAAAAACAAAGTTTGCTACTTACAGGTTCTTGTTCTAGAAGAATGAGGCTCACCACCACAATGTTTATGTCACTTCCTATAGTTCCATCTTTAAAGAGGCTGGAAACCTATTGGAACAATAAGGTTGAAAGAAAATCTCAATGTCAAAAACCATCTGGGACAATCAATCAGACCTATTAACAAGTATGTAGGCTTCAATTTTTCCAAATACCAAATGTAACCTAAATGAAGACAGTTTATTCCAAACTCAACTCCGCTCCCCCCAATATTCACAAATGCAGCTACATCTGCTATTTAACCGACGCAAAGGAATGCTGTGATTTTTAACTTCTTTGGAGAGCCAGGCGGTTGGTGAAACCTCCCTCACCATGTTCATTACTGTGAGGATGTACGTGGTGACGTTCCCCTTGCCGTGCTTTTCCACCATCCTCTTGTCGGCTACCACGAGGGTTTCCACGTTGAGGCCCTTGTGTGACTTTCCAGCTGACCTTCTGGGTCGCCCCGAGCTCCCATATTCGTCAAATCTCAGGTAGGTGTCCTGCGTGGGAGGCTTGGGGGCATCTGTGGCAAACATAAGAGCAATTGGAATGGATGTCAGCAGAGAATAGCTGGCGAGAGAGATCGAGAGAGAAATGGAAACAAGGAGATGAGAAACTACGTAAGCAACGCTTCACTAACCCACTAACGAGCGACGCCATCAGAGCCAATATGGGCGCTTTACATCCAGTGTGTGTTCAAGGAAAGATCCATTCAATAGATGTTTGGATGCAGGGATGGGAGACAAAGATGGATAGATGCATGGATGGATGGATGGGTGGGTGGGTGGACTGAGGGATGGACAGGTGGGTAGGGGGGTGGAGAGGTGGACTGGAGGGTGGATGGTTGCATAAGTGGGTAGATGGGTGGATGGATAGGTGGATGGCTGCCTGGATAGATCCGGTAACTCAAAAATGCTCTAAAGAGTAATAGAAACAAAAAGATACACTTCTAGTTTGTATAGCAGGTCAACAAATATCCATTTTTTTGAGGGGGGGGAGGATCTTTAAAAGTAGAAAATGTTCATTTTATTACTCGAAAACTGCAGAAACAGACATTATCCTTTGGATCTGAATTCATGACAGCATTTTATGTATTATTTTCTAAATAAAATGTAAACTGCTATATAACACTGCCCATGCCTTATACTCTCATTTCAGCAACACAAACTTTAACATAACACATAATAAGTGGTCATTAAGGACTCTTTGACTTGATATTGACTTCGTTATTGTGGAAACTGCATAGTCAAGGGTGATATTAAAAACTATATTAAACACTTTTTATAACTGGTAAGGTGTGGACACCAACTTAATGGATACTGGCCATAGCCTTCGAGCAGAGACTTAGAAGTGCCTGCTGGGCCAGGCATGGCACCCTTAGTTCATAGTCAACAACTCCAAGAAATCCTGGGAAGAAAAAGGGAAATAACTATGTCCTAATTAGTATAGAACTATTTTAATACTGTAACATTAGTACAGCCATTAATAGTGAAGTCAGATTTCCACAGACTGAAATTAAAAGATCATATCATTTAGAATTAATTTGAAAATCTCAGGTTGGCCATCAGCCTTGGAACCCTGGGTCTCAGTTTCCTTATCCATAAAGAAAGCATGACATCCATTCATAAGATTGCTGTAAAGATTAGCTTTCATATCTCTTATCAAATACGTATCATTTCCTCTATAAATATTACTATTAATATCACTGTTATTATAGATACATGTGTCATGGATGTCCCTTAACGAAGATACTTCAACAATACCCAAAACCCCAAAGACAGTTAAATTGGTAGAAATACTGTCTTTTGTTATTGTTTTGATTAAGAGCTTAGTGATACCAACTCTTCTGTTCATGAGAATCTCATGTGGCTTTGCTGTCCAACTTGGTACCCACAGTTGCCATTTGTGCCTCCTGAGCCACTGGAATGTGGCTGGTGCAACAGGGAAACTGAATATTTAAATTTTTTTATTTAAATTTAAAAAGCAATACTTGGTTCGTTGATTCAATAATTCAAAAACTTTTAAATATGTCTGCAACAACTTGAATATGCACATCTACTGTTTCTACCTTAAATTTTATGAAATCTAAATACAGATTAACTATTTCTGATGAAAATTTATCACCTGGATTGAAATTGTGCTGTAATTATGAAATAAATATTGGATTTCCAAAATTCAATATGACAAGAGAATGTACAATCCCTCACTAATAAACTGTTACTTACATGTTCAGATGTTATTTTGCATATATTGGGTTAAATAACATCATTAAAATTAATTTACACCCTTTTTTGAAACTTTTTTTTAATGGGGCTGCTAGAAAATTTAAAATTGTATTTCAGACTTGCACTATATTTCTATCATACATCGCCGGCCTAGGAAAAGCAGAAGGTTGAACGTGGGTCACAAACCATGCCCAAGGGTGCCTGTGTTTCACACACGTTCGTTCTTGTGTCCTTCCAAGTCTCTTTTTCATGTCCTCAGGAGGACACCCAACCACGCCTAGGCATTTAGCCCTGATTTCTTTCATCACTGGAAATCTGGGTACTTTTCCCAAGAGCACAGTAACCAAGATGGGATTAGGACCTGTGGCTAGAAAGTAGGAGGTACTCAACAAGAAAAAGAGAAACCCTACCTAAATCTCTTCTCCTTTAACCTAGAAGAACCACCCATCTAGCTTCTACCTAACAGGGATGATTTCCCCAAGACTACGCTGCAATGGCAGCTCAGCGCAGCCCCTGTTTTAATCTGCAGAGTCAGAAAACACCCAACGAGACTCAAGGAAACCCTCCGAGGCCCACAGAAGAACAGAACGAGAAAAAGTTTCCTTACATACATTTCTTGCGTCGTCCACAAAAATGCTGCTTTTGCAACCTTCCATGGTGATACTGTGTCTCCGCACTCTGAGATGCGTGGGGAGTGTGACTTGGGGAGTGACCGGGATAACCCCGGCCGGAGCCAGGGTGGCCACGGTACCGCTGGACCTTCTCCTCCGCCGTCCTTTTGTACAGTACGTGAGGGTGGTGCCCCGCCGGGGAGCTGTAGTTGTGCTCCTGCGCCAGCAGCTGAGGTAACGGCGAGATGAGGAATTCGCTTTTTCGTGTCCTTATTAAACCTGACTAAAAAGCCAAACACAAAGAAAACATCCATGATTCCACGCATCCCTTTGTCACGGAAGCACCTGTTTAATGACTTCCTCCAGGATTGCGGGGCGCAGTGCTGAATGCTTGAGATGTATGAGCTCACTGTTACCTGCACCATTACAGGTTGCTATTGTCATCACGTCCATTTTACAGAGGAGAAAACTGAGGCTAACAGAGTAAGTGGGAAGGCTGGTGCTGGCACCCAGAGTCCACTACCTTCAGAGGCAGTGCTCTGAACTACGAGGCTGCCAATCTCGACGTTTGGGCCCAAAGGTCTGAGCTGTTGATGTCCTAGTGTCTCTGCATTGGTGACCTGGCACACACTGTGGTCAACACCAGAAAGCATGACAAATACACCAACACTCCTACAATCCAGGAGTTCATAGAATAGGTAGTAAAAGAAACAAGGTATTCCATCTGGATTTCATTAAGTGCTAAGTAAAAGAACTAGCAAGGGTGGCAGAGGAAGGACTGAGTGATTACCTCTAAGTAGGGGTCTGGATAATCCATTGAGTGACACTATTATGAAGAGACATGTTTGCTAAGTCAAGGAGGAAGAGGAGACCTTGGCAAGCCCATCCCATCACCATTTTGTTTTCTAAGTTCATGGCATAGTGTGTGCATCTTATTACCTAAAATTGCAGCCACAAATGCACCCTTGTCTTTCTTGGGAGAATTTTTGGTCCCGATTTTCCTGCAACTTCAGACATCAGCTGCCTTCTGAGCCCATCTCACAGGCTGCAGTGCTGACATGATGCCTTGAGCCCGAACACAAAGACAGATGCTTTCCTCACCCACCACGCACACACTGAGCACCTAAGTCCTGGTCCTGTTCCAGGCAGTGGCATAAACAAGAGAGGCACACATTCATGCCTTCATGGAGATTATGGGAGAAGAGAATTGGTAGGCAAGACAAAGAAGTAAAATAAGTAAAATCCCACAATCCCAGAAGTCCTGCCCATCAGATCTCTAGGATACACCCCAGAGCAGCCGACCCTTCTACATCCAGCGCACCTCCCCCTGGCAGGGGCTGGCATCTCTGGTTGGGAGATGGCATCTATCTAGTCTCCCAAATCCCACTTATCCTCCCCAACATGGTTTTCCCACATCAACCATATTATTCGTCCAACGCAAATCAACTCGTTCCACGCACTCTAGGATTAATCTGAAATTTCTGGCCCACCAATCCCTATAAAAATCTGCTCCTTGTAGGCCCTGCCAGTTTTATCTGCCCCTGCTCCCTTTCTTCCCACCATTCTAAACAGGACACCGCCTCCACACTTTGAACCTACTAAGCACGTTCACACTCAAAGTATTTGCACATACTTCTTTTTCTTTCCCCTGCAATCTTGTCCTATCAAATGATTTGGCCTTCTGGAGCTCAATGCTGATGTCTCAGCTTCAACATCACCCTTTTAGGGAAGCTACATTCACGACTATTGAAAACTACCCTCCTCCCACTTCCAAATGCTCTCAGGCCACAGTTCATTGGCTTTATGTCTATTTTCAGTGAAACAAACAAACAAAAAAAGAGGTTCTCCTCTCCCTTCCACCCCTAGCACACAGTTTTAATGAACACTCTGACACCAGAGCCACCTGGGTATCCCTGATGCATGCTACACTGTTACCAGCCAATAAATATTAGTTTCTTAATCCACAGACATATATCAGAGTGGGAAGGGATGCTTAGGGCATGCCAAGAGCTGGGAAGCAACAAGTTCAAGACCATAAAACACATAGACTCTTTCTGTATTTCAGGTGTGAAGACAGGAGCATTCTATGCAATGCCCTATTGAGACCTCACAACTCCTTGAGGGGAAATCCCAGCTGGGAACACAAGTATAAGTCACTTCCCCATTTGCTGAGCATGGCCCTCTGGTCCAAGCCATGCCCTCACCTCCTCTGAGCTGTATGCAGACAAAAGACACCATTTATAATCCCCCCAAGACTCTGTAAAAGGAAAAAAAAAAAAATAGTGAATTATCCCTGAAAGCCCTCCTGCCTTACTAACTTCCTTACTTGGTTCAACTAATACCAAAGGCTTAAGCCACTTAAATGCCTTAACTGGACTAACCGGTTTGGAAGCTTTCTATTTTCTCAGTTTCATGAAAACTGCAGATAACTCAATTGCAAAGTAAAAACTTCTGTATTGAGAAAGCAGGAAAAAAATGGTGATTATGTATTAGGACAAAACTCTGCCCACACAGCCCATCATCTGTCCATTCAGAGTTAGTGACAAGGACAAAAAATCTGGAAGAATTTTTTTTTTAAGAACAAAGTAACTTTACAGTAGTAGATATTTATGAAAAAAATATTTGTCTGGTTTAATTTCATGGAAAACATTGGAATCCACCCAAATAAATACATTTATATAGCTTAACAATATAAAACCCAGTGCATCCAAAAGGAGCCACTTGTTTACTTGTGGAATGTGTGAAGCATTTGAGTTACCAAGTTCCTGCGACATCCTGGGTGAATAATGGTGAGCAAGACGGATCTTTGGTCTCGTGTGGCTTCCATTCAGTGGAGGAAGCGAGTATTAAACAAGCAAGTGTCACAAATGAGAATGAAATACTCCTTTGTACAAAATACGAAGAAAAAGAGCAGGTGTCTATGAGAGAAAATAACCGACGGGATGAGAAGAGTGGAGTAACTACATGAAACGCTTTTGTAAGAATGGGCATTTTTAATTGAGATCAGAAGTCCTTTCCTGATTCACGTGGAACTCAGTGGCTGGCGTATCACACAACCGGGGAGGGAAAAGCTGGTGAGAAAAGGAAGAAAGCAGAGACCCAAAGTCCTGCTCAGAAGGGGAGGAAGTGTCTGGACACCCTTAGGCTTCCCCTAGAATAGAGGACAGGAAAGGCCCAAGTCCATTGCCATGGAGATGCCACAAGCTGATGATGGTTAAAGAGCTGTCCCCAACTCTCCACCCAGGGGGACTCCTTTCCTTCAAGAGGCAGAGGGATCAGAGGTAAAGGACTGGGTTCTACCTTCTACTGGACCCCGTATGCGGAAGGGTGGGCTCACAGTCATTCTTCCCACATTATCTTTTCCAATTTTAGAGATAGACAATTCATGTGATTTAGCTGCTAAGTTTAAAAATCAAATACATGCTGACCAAGAGTCAGTATTCTAATACAGATACTGTACCATGTTCTATTTCAAAAGGGGAAATAAATCTAAGTTTTGTTAGCAGTCGTTTCCTTTTTTAGATTTCAGTGGCCAAAATAATTCTCCAAAGACTCACATTGGGTATAAATCACGCTTCGTGAAGTTTTCCTAAATTATCCTTTCAAAATACTCTCCCTGTAAGTTGAGATTTCAATTCCATTAAAGGGTTTAAGATTTAAAAGAAAAAGGGCTGCAGATTTCAGAAATACTTGACAAATCTAATGGCAGTATGAACACACAATTTGTTTTTTAAAGGCGTGGTGTGAACAACCTTAAAGAGCAATGAAAATTAGGAAACTGTAAGCTTCCTGAGGACAAAGCTATGTCTTAAAGTGACTTGTATCCTATGGATTATATCTATTAAGTAATCAAAAAATAAAAGAATGGGCTACTGATGTTTGCTGCAAATGAACCATAACTTCAAATGGAATAATATATCAATCTTAAAGAAATATCTTGAAATAATAATCATAATATAAAGAACCATACAGGTAGTACCATTATTCAATTTGTACTTTTAGTAAAGACTAATATATGTAACAAAGTAGCCATAGTAGGCTGGCTGGAAAAGTATTAGAAAAGACATTTATTCCTGGCCATCGATAATCAAATTATTTTTCACTTAACGTTTAATCTATCTGCAACCACTAAAAAAAATGCTGTTATTTCAAGATGTTACATTTTAAAAAAAATGTCATTTTAGCCAAACAACAGTATTAAAGAATAAATCATTGATTTGTTGAATAACATGTATGAGGACACCTCTGAAGGATAAATCTCAGTACAGAATAAGTGAAAAGCTTAAGAAAGTATAGTCAATGTGAAACAGAAATTCATGATCCAGGGTTGGAGGTGAGGGAGGAGGAAAGAAACATATATTGGGGAAATGAAAGGCTAAGGAGTAACAAAAAGGCTGAGAAAGTCTTTAGTTTTGAGAAACCATTGGCATGATGATGTTTTAGGATTTTGTTAAGAGGGAACAAATTACTGAGATAAAAGGGAATGACACAAAAAATGAAGACTTAAAGGAAATACTCAAGGTAAGAGTGAAGCAGTTTAGAAATAAAATTAAAGTTTTGCTGCTTGCTAGCTGGGTTCAAGAATTCAGAGCTTCTGTTGTTTTTGTTTTTCCCCATCTGTGAAATGGGCATAGAAGTATTCCTAAGTCAGGCTTTTCAAAGAGTAAATAGGTGAGTATTTGTCAGGCACTGTGCTAAGTTGTGAATGTCTCAGTAAATGTTAACATAAAAAATAGAGCCATAGTGGCTTTTGAAAAGAAAACTAGAGAGTTGAAAATATATCCAAAAACATTTACTAAGTCCCAGGTCACAACAAACGGAATCAGCTGGACCCCTGATCAGGCCAAGACAAAAATATCTGAGCACACACCAACACTGGTAACATCCTCGGCTCTCCATAAAGTACATCATTCTAAGAAATCAAAACAGAATTTTTTGCTATCTGCACATGCAGAGATGGTTTAACAGATAACTTGGGTGGGCCCCTCAAACATGAACATGTCCGCTGAAAAAGAATGTGTGTTTGAGATTCCCTGTTACTGTCAAAGAGAAAAACATCACTTATGTTTCTGGAGAAAAAAAACCCAAAATATGTATTTCAACAAAGATTTGGCATTTGCCATCCATTTCTTCATATCAATATCATCATCCATGGGATTCACAATACTAAATAAGATTTTGATGGGGATGTATGTTTTCCAGATTTGTGTATACACCGATGTTCCTGCAAGAAAACTGTCAGGAACAGTCAATTCAAATTTAATCACATACTGTCAATATTTTAAAATTGCTTGCAGCCAGGTT